ACAATAATTATGACCACGATCAGTTGTTACAGGTGTTTAACAACTGCCGTGTAGCAATAAAATCCAACCGTAGAACGAAAAACGAATGCGAAACTTCCCCTCTTGTTATGGAGTTAATAAGAAGTGACGATGGAACCTAAAGAAAGCCAGCTCATAAAAAAGCTGGCAAGTTCACACAGCTGCTAAATAAAAACTATATTTAATTAAATCCCCTTCCCCTCAAATTCGACACATCTGTATTCTTCACTCTGTCGAAGAAAGAAAACTTCATCTGAAATGGATTCCCACTAGGATTCATTGACAGGATCAGAGCTAAAGTTCAGAGAGACGGGACGAAAAGCAAAACTTTACGCGAACCTTAGATTTATGGGAGACTCAACCTATGAAACTCTTAAAAGAGGTGCTTCATTACCTTTGGCGAAACTTTCTTTACGAAAACATTAAGAGCAGTGTTCTTCAGTCATCCAATGGTTAGTCGTTCGATGAGTATCCCGTTTAAAAGAGTTTAAGAAGACTACCCCACAAGGTCGCAGAATGCCTACAGTAGCTTACCATTAGTCATTTGATCTCAACACGCTCCTCCTTCAAAGTAATGTACAAGCTGAAGTGCAACTTTCCAAAGACAATACTCTCTCACTTCCTCTGAAGTGTTCCATTCAGATAGGGAAACTGAGGCTTTGTATACCTAAGAGAAATACTCAGTCACTTGTACTATCATAGTATCGACCATGTTGTTTTCTCCCAATTTGATTTTTTTGTTTGTTTTTAACTCTTTGTGCCCCTTGTACTTCTTTTGAATGGTTACGTACACGTTGTCCTGCATTTTTATGTGCATTCTGATAATAACTCATTCATTGAATTATTCATCCTGTTACGTAATACCAGTTCGACTCCTCTTATGCGCTGATTAATACTGAGACCTATGATTATGACAACTCATCAGCCTTGTTGCTACCCTCTTTCGAGAAAACAAGGTGTATATAAATATGATTGTACAGTTAAAGAAAACACTACTGATCGATTTTTAATCCGATACTGTGCTCTTCTCGATTTAAATGGAACAACACAGCGTCATAAAATTTACTGTTGAGTACTCGTTTACTTATAAATTCTGCATGAAGAGTAAATTATTTGCAGTTTAAGTACGCTAAGCACTCAATACCATGTCTTGATATATATTTTCTACAATAACGCTGATTTTAATATTGTTATTATTATTATTAGGTCTAAGGGGTCTATTTCCCCATATTTATTACCAATATATCTTGTTGAGTACTAGAGGTTTCACAAAGAATCTAACCTACCATCTAGAGAAATGAACAGGTTAACTCTAGAAGTAATGTATCAAGTATATCTGAATCAAGAAGCTGACATGATAGCCTACCTCATGTCTATCTGAAAGAAAGAATTTCCCCTGTGTACTCGAATCCAACTCAGATATAATTCTATGCGTATGTATTAAGTTAATCTGTTTTCTTTGTAAACTGTCATTTAATTCAGATATTTCATGTTTCTTTTCAATTATGATTACCTGAAGCTGAATTCTCCCCAATGACATATGTCGATATTATTCTGATTAGAACATATGTCAATTGTGTAAACAGAGATAACAGAACCTATACTCCGGGATTATTCTCCAATATTTAAAGTTCATACAGAATATAAATATCAGTATAAACAAAACAGTTTAAATAATAAGCCTTGAAATAATTATCTGATAGCTTAATCATAATTTTATAGATATTATAAATCAACCTTTTATTCATTAACAAATAATTTATCTTATTTTCCTCTCTGCTGAATATGTATCATCCATTTTTCTACTTGATCTAAGCATATACATATACTAAGTTAGTTATATAACCAAATTTATGTATGATAAACGTAGATGATAATGAATCATTATCAGCATTTTGTCAAAGAAACCAATCAGACTAGATTATAGTTATCTAATTTGGCGCTAGTAGAATTTAGCAACTATTAATATTCATTATAGAATAAAATGAGTCCTGGAAAATAATCAGACATACTGTGCATAATACACCTTTTAATACAAACAAGTATTAGGATTCAATTCACGGGCAATATTAACTAAAAATACTGATTATAAAGCAATAGTTTTATGTTATGTAATAAAAAAGCAAATGGTGATGGTAGTGATGATTATCTGCGAACACTTTTTAATGGAAGCAAACTGATGCTATCATTGCATTATTTAGCATGCTAGTTTTTAAAAAAAATAGATCCGAAAATTCACATCCAGTACAGTTGGGGAACTCATTAACTCTAAATCCATAATTATCTTTTCGGAGTCTCATTCTAAACAAATGGCTTAAAATAATGATACGTGTTTAATAAATGTCTACTTTACTACTGAAACAATATAGAATACTAAAAGACTAACTAGTGAACAAGGTCCTACGGATATATATACATATATTCATATCAAATAAAGGGTTATTATTGTTAGCAATTTTAACGTTTCAAGTAGCATCGAATTACTACGATGCTTAGGATACAGTTCAAAAGAATTTGTAGACGATAGTATGCATCTGTATAATACTTAACTGCAAGGAGTATTTGCTTTACATGGTGTTAAAGTCTATTTTAAACCCTCTAATTCCTTAGAGAAGGCATTAATGAGTGTCAGAGATATATTTTCAGAAATGTGGGGCTTGTTATACACGGGAAAGAGGTAAACAGATGAAGCTCAGAAGGAATGAACAAAGTCTTTGCACGAAACATCCGCCTAAAAATAGAGTAGAATTAAAGAGTCTTGAAATAGCGTCAGTTATAACAATGGATGCTATAGGAAGCAGATATAAGATCAGTTTCGCCAAAGTCGAAATTCTGGAAAAAGGATTTCATTCACAAAAAGAAAGTTCGTCCTCTGAAGCCTTGGACATTTGAACTACATTGACTGTGATAGACAGGAGAGAAGGGATAGATTTATCACCTGTACGGACAGACTCTAATGAAGCAAAAGAGATGAAGAAATGATTCATTTTCATAGTGTGACATCTGGAGAATATTTTCTCGTTTTGAAATATGAACTGATGTGTTTTCAACATAACAAACAAAGTAATCAGACTTCATATGAACTGTGATTAAGATTAGACCGAATAGTTCCAAAATAAATTATATTTGTAAAATCTCAGTTCATATAGACAAATGTGCGCATATGACCGTTTGACATTTTTCATTACGAATATGTGATGACTGTTTACATTTTTCTATTGGTAGAAATGTCTACCGACAGGTGACTTTCAAAGAAGCTCGCTTTAATTTATGTAATTTTCGACCATAAATCTCGATAGTTCATAAAATTCCCCAAAAATTCTTTTGAAGATGCTATGGCCTCGACAGAGAAACTTCCAGAAAAGTGTTGTTTTCATTTTTTGGTTGTCGATAGAAAAATTCCTCTAAGTGACTGAATGTCATGTCATAGAGGGTAGCATTTACCATTCTGACAGGTTTTTATGGATTGGCCCAGAATCCTTCAATAAAATTTGTATGAGTTCCACTTATAGGATTCATTAATTCAAAACAATGAGTTATGATGAGTGTAGCCTTATGATGGTATTCGCGAATAACCTTTCCACTGGTCTATGCGAATGGTAGTGCTTTGGAGAACTAATCGTGTATTATTTGTATTAAAACATTTGCGCTTCTGTTTGGGATGCGTTCTACCAACCTTTTTCTAACATTTGTACCGTATAGTCCCATCAACGAAACATGCTTTGCTCTTCTCCTACCGTGATTCATTTTTCGTTTAATAACTGCTGCTTAGTAAATTTGAACGACGACACTAATTCATCCAAGTACACAAGTAATTCCATTGGTCTTTTGTTAGACCATATGCCAGCAGTGCTTATACCCCTGCGCCGTTGATGGCTTAGTATTCTGTTTCTGCATCTGAAGGAGATACCGGTCGTCTCAATAGAGAATTGTGGCACATATGCAATATCTTAGTAAGATGGAGTTTCGATTTCGAGAATAAAGTATCTAAAAAATCACCATAATGTACAACTTACCAAGCCTTATAGACTTCCTGCTATGACAGCTATTGTATCGGAATGCATAACCATTATTAGCCCAGCAATACTTCCGAAGAGTCGTTATCCTTCCACATATTCATATTTTAGTCCTTCTCATCAACCCATTTCCCACAGAGAAGTCGAAAACCAAATCTAAATGAAACTTAAAACGGTGATTATGAAACAGCATCCATTTGTAATGATGAGTGTGCTGGTTGGTTGGTTGGTTCAAGATCATTTGACTGTGGTGTCTGTTGTTTAGTGTTTCCGCTTTCGGATATTTACTAAGTAGGTATCCTTCTGTTCACACTAATTCATTGAATACTGTCTCGTTGATGCAAAAATATACACATATAGAATATCAAATAATTTTGTCTAGAAAACTTACAGTGGTTTGAAGTGTTAACAACATATGGTAAGTGGTTTTCTGACAGCTTACTCACACTTTATTTAAACGTAACGCTTAATCGTTAATTCACACAAATCTATTTAACTATGCAAATATTCCTATTGTTTTGAATGTAGGGATTTGTTAAAAGTAAACAAGAGTTCTTCAAGCTGAAAACAACTTCAGATCTTTATAAATCTTTATGCAAGGCGTATTAGTTTATAAGTACAAAATACAGATTTACACATAATTATTGTGAAGAGTCCCAAACTAGGACGAAACAGCTGTTCAGTACTCCCAGGATTTTCAATGGTTCTGTAACAAAAAGTCAGCTCATGATGAAATCCTGTAACCATTCAAATCCCTACAAACCAACACTTAAACAAACACTTAAATATTCTGATTTCGTTTGAAAATAAGGCAGACCATGGATGTTCTTTACAATTTAACAAATCATTAACTATCTTCATTTTTATGTGCTTTGAGCTATACACGTTTTTGTTTATATAAAAAATTTCACGTGCCTCATGTTTCATGATAATCATCTATATGGTTTATTTCTATTTTTACTATAGGTATCAGTAATACAAGCCCAGACACGTATAGTCTTTCAGAGCCTGGTCTTGTTGCCTCAACATCTCAGTTTCCATTAGATAACAATGATAATTATAATCACGGGAAAGTAAATGTATCCTCACAAACTATTTCTCACTATGCTTTAGATTATGCTACTATACCAAAACGTAGTAATAATGATAATAACAATTATAAATCAAGACATAAACTTCATCCCTATCCATTTATATACAATAATCAGCGGTTATTTAACGTTAAAACAAACACCAGCAAAAATGTTTGTATACCTAGCACTTCTACTAATTATTCATCCTATATAAAACGTAAACGAAGTTATGACAAGAAGCTACACAAGATATGGCAGACATATGAAAATCGTTTATATAAATTCAATGAAATCACTTCTTCATCATCTTTATCATCAGCATCAGAATCTTCGCTAACATCATCGTCATCTTCATCATCGACACCGTCGTCATCTACGCCAACAAATTCATCAACTAGTGAATTGTTTACTGTTAAAATGAGTCGTGCTGCTAAAAATCAATCGACTGATGATGATGATGAGGAGGAGACAAGTAGTCAACAAGCTGTAACCAAAAAAGAAACCCTACAAAATACTCAATCTAACATTACAGGAATTCATTCAATCAGTAAAAAGGAGAATGAAAAGAAAAGCAATACAAGTATATTGGCTTCTGTCAGACGCAGGTAAGTCTGGTTACTGTGTACAGTTAATATTTGCTTGTATTAGATTGATAATATTTACTTATACCAAAGTATTTTTGGTTGGCATTTTACTTCCTGAAAGCAGAGTAAGAGATCCACTAAAAAAATGGTATTTAGCAAGCTGTTAGGCGCATATCAGTCTACTTAGCTATTTACCATATGTGTGTATATATATATATCATATCTAAACGACATAAAATGCTTTTAAATACGCCGTGGCCACACAGCTTCTATGGTCAGTTACAACGTGAAATTCCATTGTGTATTTACTAGCTTTTTTAATGAATACTTACTATGATAACATCCTATTGGTTAAAAAATTAGTACTAGGTCTACCTGCTTTTATAGAGGGAAATATTTCACGTATGTATTCTCAATCTTTATATATGTGTATATATTATTATTGTATCCTTTAATTCCGAATATAGGAACATAGGACTTCAGCTGCGCGTCTCCATTGCCTTCGGTTTTCTGCCAACTTTTTCACCCCGCTCCCAGTCTGCCCACATGCCTTCATCTCCTCTTCACATGACCTCCTCCAATTCACCCTTGCACTGACGGCACACTCGCCACATCCGTTTCGGGTTCCACTTGAACAATGGCTTGTCTAGTGATGTCACTTGATGGTTTGTTTCCTCAGCGTATGGCCAATCCATCTCCATTTCTTCCTGCCTGTTTGTTGCACAGGCGGTTCCTGCTGGGTTGATTCACTCCCAGAGATCCCACCCTGTTGCTGATCTTTTATGGCCGGCCATCTGATCTTGAGTATTGAGCTAAGACAGCTGTTAATGAAGGTCTAAAGTTTGCTTGAGATGCTCTTTATGACGTGCAGTGCAAGTCTCTGATCCGCAAACCAAGTAGCACTGACTTTACATTGAAATTGAAAATCCGGATGTTATTTGTGATGCTGAGTGCGGTTGACCTCCACTCAGACTTAAGAGTAATGAAAGCTTGTCTTGCTTTTCCAATTCTGGCTTTGATACCCTCGTCAGTTCCATCCGCCCGTAGTTGAAACGATGCTTCCCAGGTGGGTAAAGGAGGTTGTTTGTTTCAGGTTCCTCCCATTTATGCTGACTGTCGTCTGTTGTTGTTGTTGCTGCTGATGTTGTCCAGGAATCTTCATCACCTCTGTTTTATTTATTTTCAGCTGAAGTCCTTCCCATCTTTGATGTTTTTTATGCCAGTTTGTTGCTTTTCAATTGCATGTCTTCCAGTTTGTAGGAAATCAGACATATATCATCGGCGAAGTCCAGATCCTCCAAGATTTTTGTGTGAGTCCATTATATGCCTGTTTCCTCACTACCAGCTTTATGCTGCATTATCAAGTCTACCGCAATCAAGTTAACCATTAGAGATAACAGGCAACCTTATCTTACCCCCTTCTCCACCTCGAAGGATTCCATCAGTTTCCCGTTGTGGATTACTTGGCATGCAGCATTGTCGTATAACTGTTGGATGTATAATTGTCAATGGCACCCTGTAGTAACGAATTAGTTGCCAAGTGACCTCTCGATCGACGCTTTGAAGGCCTTTTCAAAGTTGATGAAAGAAGCGGTTATCAGTCTTTCTTTGCCCTGGTAACTGGATAATTTCACCTCTCTTTCCTCCGAATGTGAAATGCTAAAAGTTCCCATCGTGTTTGATTATTGTTGTTCAGAATAGTGGTTAATATTGCATATTTATATATGTATATATTTTTAGTGTATGAGTATATTGATCGATTGATTTTGTTTAAACTGAACTTTGTGCAAGGATGTTAAAATTGTTGTTGTAGATATATTTAATAATGTCTTTGCCATGTAAGCAGCTGACGAGAAGGCAACGAAATAAAAGATGGTACCATTTTATTCTGCTAAAACTGTGGTTCTTGCTTTGTTCAAAGTTGATGAAGTTGAGATAGAGAGGTGACTGCCATTCCAAGATTTGTTCAGTGATGATCCGTAGTGTGGCGATTTGATCAATACATCACTTGTTTCTCCTGAATCCAGCTTGTTCCGGTCGAAGTTTTTCATCCAGGGCTTGTTTGATTCTTTCCAGGATGATGCGGCTTTGTATTTTGCTTGGGATGGACAGGAGCATAATTCCGCGCCAGTTTTTGCATTTAATTGTCTCCTTTCTTTGGTAGTTTGAATAAGTATCCTTTCTTCCAATTCTTGGGTACTTTACCCTCTTTCCACACCTTCTCCAACAATGGCGTCATCAAGTTCGCTGTTGTCTCTCTGTCCATATATGTATATATGATAAAATCTAACTTGGAGAATGGCATTGTCTTCAATCTTCCTATTCGAGGTAATATTTCTTTCAGTGTGAATACAAAATTTGAAATTCTTGACACAATTTCTGATTTCATTGAGTCTATGAAGTGAAATATTTTTCTGATAAATTACTGATATGCTTTAAAATGATAAATATTGTGCGTCTCTAAAGATGATTCCTAATTAGGATTCACGCTTTAATGCATTTGATTTATAGAGATTTACTTTCAACTCTTGTACAACAGAAAATCGTGGAGTTTTATAAAAATTAAAATAGTTTAGGGATTTGAATGGAATGAAAGTGTTGTCGGAGAGATTATTGATCAGCTGTGCTAAGAATATCGAATTTCTAATACGACTACTGAGTATTCATACAATGCAGTTAACAACAGTAAACTCCCGACAAGCTCTTAGTAGATTTATCAGGTCACACTAATGCAATAAAACTAGCAAAAGATAACTTCATATTTTCATCAGTTATAATAATAATTTAAGTAACAACTTAGAACTAATTATACATTAATATGTAGCAAGTGTTGAACATCTATCAACGGATGCGATTGCACACTTATCTAATAGAAAAATTATATATATATACGATTTCAATCTTAATTGATAGATTATGAGGCTAGACCGTTGCTTATTATTATTCCTTAAGGATCCGAGTGGAACGTAAGGTCTCAGGGGCATATCTATGTTTTACTCTGTTCTCTGAGGCCATTTTTAGCTGGCTCTACGATTGACCGTAAGCTTTCCTGTCCTCATACAATCTACTTTATGCAATCTTGTATGCTCAACTCATCGTTTTTCATCCAGGTCCTACTCGAGATCTGAACGCGTGATTTCACTCCACGACCTCCTCAGCGTATTCAATCCATCCTTATTCCTTCAATGTATTTTTTGAGTAGTAGATTCTTGGTTGTTTCATTCCCAGAGTTCTTTGTTGCTGTCCTCTCTAGTCATCGGATCTTCACTAAGGAACTAGCGAAGATTTTTGGCTGATAAAAGTCCCTACCAGACTGTTAAAAGTGCTTTTCTTGATGTACGTACCATGTCTCTCAATCATACGGAAGAAATGAGTTATCATTGGTTTTGAAAGTTTGAATGTTGTTATTAATGCTAAGTGCAGGAGATTTCCGCATTATTTGACACAGTACTTTCATATAAATTAAAAGAAGGTAATATATGTGGAAATCTTACAACAAGATAAGTAATTTAATGTTTGCCGAAATGATCTGAACTTCTTCAACGGGAAATAGACTTCGAAGTTACTGATTTTCATTCCCACTGGGTTTTCTACAAATGTATCTTTTTTATATTTGCACTATGCACCCAATTTTGGTTGCGGTTATACTTATTATGTAAAACAAAGGAGCATGCAAATAATCATAGTATAAATCCTATGGGATAAAAACAGATTAAATATATTGTTGCAACTTAAATAATATAAAGCTTAAAGACGTATTGACTTATGGCATATGGAATTATGGCATTCTAATTCTTATTGTAATTTTTATTAATTTAACCCTTAACCGGAAATTATTCTGGAACTTTCCCAATCCATTTGATATAAATACACGAATGTACAGCTTAGATGATGACTTCGTCGAAAAGAAAATTTTCTTCGCTGCAATTGTCTTCTTAATAACTCGTATGAACTTTTATGAGAGAAAGCCAGTTAACTGTTTTCGAACCTCCTGTAGTAGAATACTTTAACGATGTGCACTGTGTTGTTCGTATTGGCATTGCATTGCCGACTTTATTGGATCTCTTTATTTGTATATTCTCAAGTTGACTTGAAGTTTTAGTTTTTTTATTTGCACTTTGTAATGTCTATAATTCGATGCAACTGGCAATGTGATTTAATTTGATTCTTAAAAGTACTGTATTCTGAATAATTCTACTAATTTTGGCTTCTATTGTATACATTTCAGGAATATTTTCAATCCAAATAATAGCTGTAGTGTGCGTTTTAACTAACTTACCTAATATCATTTTAAATGCGCTTTGATAATTTATGAAGATAGATTACACTATCCGTTGTCGGTAATTTGTCTTTGTATGCTGTCTGAAATGAAGCCTAATTGAATACACATATGTAAATATATATGATATCTGTTAATAGTAATTTACAGATTGTGTGAATAAATTATTAATGGACTCAGATAATAATCAAGACAATTAATCATCTTAGTAATTGTACTCATTAAAAAGTGAGACCAATCCTGTTCGTTTTTATGTCTTAGTCTAGGTCAGTCAAGGGGCATTTGTAAACTAATATCAGTTGAAAGATTCTTCCTGAATGAATGCCTCCAAAAAATTCATCATTTTGAGCAGTCTATAAACAACCCGATTAGCTTCATGGTCAGTGAAACTTGTAAATTTGCCCAGAATGGAATTATGATATTAATTTCTTATGATAAGAGTGAAACACAATATTTATCTGTTAGGCAATTGACCGTCTTTATGATCAACGTTGAGAAGTGTTCAACAGAAGTATTACCTCGACAAGTCTATCAGTCAGATTATTTACTAATTTTTCATGAGATCTGGTTGGTAGTGAGAAATAAAAGTCATGCTTCCTGTGTTTATACTTACTTGCTTTCTAACTAAAAGAACGTCGGGAAAACAAACCTGGCTAACCTATACTTCGTTAGACAAGCGTGGTAAAGGCCGATGAATCAACAGTAGTAGGTCAATTGTAGGAAAAAAACACCGGGCATTATT